TCATTTGTTTACATTTTTAATTAGACTAGTGATGGCACGTGCGCTGCACGTATATTGGGTGATGTAGTGTAAGCAATAATGTTATAATTTGGTTATGTAGTATTTGAATGGAAAGTGAAACCTATCTTAAATGATGATTACATTGGATTATATAAAATATTTGTTGATAAGTATTTACACTGACGGTTGTAATATAAAGCATAACAGTAAAACTATTATAAGCCATACTTGGATGCATGAGTTTTAACATGTTAATATGTACAGTGAACAAAATGTAGCATGGCAAGTAGAGGTTACATGGGTTTTAACATGTTAATATGTACAATGAACAAAATATAGCATGGCAAGTAGAGATGTTGGGAGTGCTGTTTGATGGAGTGTGGACATAAACATACAAAAGAGGTTTAAAATACTTATTTTAAACTGTTTAACAACTACTCTTGTTTTTTCTTTTTGTTTGGATGTTTGTCAAGTTCATGCGTAAACATTCCTTCGATTGTTGAGCTACTCGTCTGTGTAGTGTCTGCATTTGTAAGTTGACAAGATGCCCGTGAGATGTTTTGTTGTGTCATGTTGGTGAGGAGATGGTCTTCATCTTGGTTTTGTGAGTCAAGGATGACGATCACTTCATATGGAGGGTTGTTGGTAGACCTTTTTGTATTTACAGTTTTGATGTATAAGATATGTTCTTATGCAGTTGGGGCCTGGATTATAGAGCTGCTCCCCATGTGTTCCTATTGGAATGTTTATTAGTAGATAAAAGGAATTTCATTTAGGGGGAGGGGAAGGTACGGGGGAAATTGTAATTTTGAGATTAGTACCTCAGAAGTTTGTTTCATCAGGTCTTTGGCTGGGCATTTGAGGAATGTTTCAGCAGGGTTTCCAATAATTGATGCTGTGATTGAGCCTGTGGAGTCTTCTAATTCAACTGTCGCTCTTGCTCTGTAAGAATGGAAGTGGAATCATTGTTAGTGTTTCAAAGTTTGTGTTAGGAGAATATTTGATGATTATTAGATAATAAATAGTATACTTGTTCACAAAGATGACGCATTGGTGGCATGATTATAATCATACCTTGGAGTTGATGTAGCATAATTGTGCTTACAAAATCTGCAGAAATAAGTTTCATTCACATTTGCAGTTGCACATTTATTGCAATTATCACATGATAGATACGATAGTGGTTGGTTTAATGTGACCAATGTCACATTTGCCTTTGTCCAGAAGGTCCTGTGCTGCAATGTTTCAAAGCTTAAGACTCACTCAATGGTTTGAACTTTGGCAAGAAAATATATTTTGAGGATGTAGGTAGTGGAGTTCAGGCTAAAACTGGATGTGGGCTATCGCCGGTGGTGGCTCTCGGGCTTCTGCCACCGGTGTCGTCAAAGAAGGGGAGGGGTGGTGGGGTGGCCAGCCACCCAAGCGTCAAGTGGAAGCGTGTCAGATATATCTGAGTGATTCTAAGGCTTATCATTCAAGGCACAAAGTCTGTGGTATGCACTTCAAGACACAATTGTAATGCTTAGGTTGTTGAAAGTGTTTCACAAGTTCTGAATAGTATTTTATATGCTTATATGCAAGAAGTTGGAAAGGAATTCATGTCTTGCGGTATCACAATGTGATAAAGTGCTTTTAAGTATTTGAAGATGGAAAGAGGGATTCTAGGGCCTTTACTAATCTGTTATTCAGAAACAGGGGGTAAAAAGAAGTTATTAGATTATATTATGCTATGCTTAGAAAATAGTCAGGTGCATCAACTATAAATAAATGAAGAGTAAAACTTTAAATTTTGTTTGATGAAACATATTGTTGTTGCTTATCTATAAATGTAGATGGGGCTTTTATTGAGTCATTTTGTATTATATGTAAGGATTAGGCATAAATTTGAAGTATAGAGAGTGAAAGAAAGTAGGAAGCTATTAGGTAAGGCAGGAATTTAAGAAGCTTGGAAAGGCAAGATTAAGTTGACCATTTGAGGGTATAGTACATAAGAAAAATAGATCTCGGTATAGAATGGATCAAAGAAATTCATATTGTGTTCCTCTTTGAAAAGAAAGGAATACTTACATTTTTAGAAATCCAATTTTATACATCTTTTCATATATATGTATTTTGAATCTGTTACATTGGAGATTTAAAAATATTAGAACTTTACTGAATTACATGTAACAATGTTGTTTTAAATGAAGTTAAACTATGTAAGAAAATTTACCTTAGGATCCATTAACCAAATGT